AGGAAGGGATGGGAAACTTCTCTGGGCTCCCACTGCAAAAGGCAATTGCTTTGGCCAGCATCCCCCTGGGACCACAGACACCAAGAATTAGGGAACCACCCAAAGGGTCTGGGTTTCTGAGAAGAGGATCTCATCCTTCCCACATCTCCCACCGTCCAGGCCAGTAGCTGATAAGGGATGCTGTTGCAAAATATGGGTAGCTGTATACACTTAAGGTCCCAAATCTAAATAAGGGTCTTTTATTCACTCAACATTCATTGAACCCCTACTTAATACTTAACATGTTAGTAATTCAGTCTTTACTCTCACCTGGACAGAAGACAGAGATCTATCAAAGTACAACTTAATGAATAGTTAAAAGTGTGCTTCTCATAAAAAAAGACATCATTGAACTTAATAATTAACAAGAGAACCAGTAAGGTGATAGAGTTGATTCAAAGAGCATTTGAAGAGCTGGGATTTAAAAGAAAGTCACAGCAAAATAATTTCTTAAAGATAAATTTAGCTCATGTCCTAAGGGGCAGTAAAACTGGGGTTATCTTTCTCACTGGACAGAAATAATCCCGTCTGTACTAGACAAAAAAAAAATGGCCAAGTTAACATGTAACTTCACTTTATGAGTCCTTCGTTAATAATAGCAAATGATGAAGTGAATGAAACCTTCCAGTGGGACACTTTCCAATAGATATATAATGGGAGCCACAGGTATAATTTAAGTGTTTTGGTAGTTACACTTAAAAGGAAAATCAAAAGGGTAAAAATTAATTTTAATAATAAAATTCAATATTAAATTGCAATACTTTATTTAATATTTTAATTAAATACTAATTTTAATGTTTTATTTATTGGGACCCAGAAAGTCCCAAATGTTACCATTTTGACATGTGGCACTTACCACATTTCAAGGGCTCAATAGCCATGTGTGGATTGCACAGTTCTTCCTATTAAATAATCTTTGTGCACATCTGTTCAGCAAAGCCTCCCTGTGAAATACAGTCTCTTTGAAATTAAGAGCTTCAAATCTTATTAACTCTTGAGCCTCCTTATGGCTGAGACACGGGCCCAGGTGGGCATCAAAGAAACTGACCTGTGACAACTTTTCTGGCTAAGCACAGGGTGGCTCAATCTCCATACATCTGTATATCTCCTGGCTATTGTTTCTATAAATTGTAACTGCTCCCAATTTTTTCCCCTTACATCATTTGTTTATTTCTTATACAGCAGGCAACCAAATCTCATCAGCTGGGATCCAGGCAGGCTCCCTGGCTTGACTGCTGGTAACATGTTCCTTCTACCAGCCACTGAAAGAACATACCGTATCCCCCCGATTTTATCTGCAGTTTGAATCATTCTTATGAACATATCTGCACAAGTCTGATGACCTAGGAAGGTGAGTCCAAACTACGGCCCTTAGAAGGGTTTGTGTAAGGCAGCTGAGCAAATGTCATCCCATCAGATGCTCTGATGTTGAGGTGTGTCCAGGACTGTGGGGGTCTGCAATCTGCTCGGGGCGGGGGGGGGGGACATAATAGATTAGAAAAAACTTGACCGAGGATGAGTAGGCTAAAAAAAAAAAAGAAAAAGAAAAAAAGTGGTGGAGGGACATTCCAAACAAAGAGAAGAATGAGACCCAAAGCAGGGAGAGGCACAAATTCAGAGAACACTCATGGGTGCACCTAACTAGAGAATGGGGTGTGTGGAGAGGGAGGGGCAGGGACTGACGGAGACCTTGATAGGCTGGGTCCCTATAGCAATAGACAAGGGTCTGGGGAAGCTGTGGTGTCTCATCTACAACTAGAAAAGTAGGGACATGACCAGACTTGTCTTTTAGCAAGTTACTTCAAGGAGATGTTAGCCTTGTGGCTGGTGGAACCTTCTCCAATTCCCTATCCTCTTGTTACCCCAGTTATGAATGGGGATGAAGTTTGCATCACAGTTGGTAGCTAAAAATATTTTCTGGGCATCAAGTAACAGATGTGATGCCCAAATCCAAGATGAAGAATGCATTGATAGAGGGGGGGCAAGGTGGCTCCTGAGGTCAGGACATAGCAAAGACTCCTTTTGGGTTCTGAGGAAGGCTGTAAGGCGACTTTTATGGATTGGTGACTTAGTAGTTGATACTCTAGCAGTCTTTGGGGCCAGGTTCAGGTAAGATAAAAGAATCCCAGCCTGGCATTGACTCAACGGTTGGCAAGAAAGAGCCCATCGTCTGGAGGGAGATGAGAGCTGGCTTTGATTTTCTCTTGCCCTTTGTATCTGAGAAGTCAGGTGTCCTTCCTGGGCATCCCCTGAGATGGTGGTCTCTGGCTCCTGTAAGTGACAGGTTAAACAAGAGCAGGTAAGGCTGAAACAGGCCTGCAGAGTACGAAGAACCAAGAATTCCTTAATTCTCAGGCAACATCCTCCTAGATCCCCCACTACACCAACGTTAGAAAGAGAAAAATGACTTGTTTTAGTTTTACCTGGAAACAAAATATGTGCATGGAACAAGCTTCTTTAGCTAAGAGTCTGTGGCTGCCAGGAAAGGATGAGGCAGAGGGGGGTGAGATTTCAAGATGGCTCTGTAGTCCATCCGCCTCTGTGCACCCAAGTGCATGCTGGCTGGGTAGGAGGGACCTCAAGTCAGCTTCCCAGGGCTGATGTGTCCCTATGTGGCCAGTTTGGGAGACAGCAGATTCTAGGGTCCTATTTCCACTTGGGGCTATACAATCACCAAGTGAAAGACTAACCATCCAGTTGAACGAGGAAATTCTGATCTTATCTCCTTGGAGATATAAGACTTCCCCTGCTTCCGATTCCACGCTTTGCACCGTGAACTGATCACTGCTGAGTTCTGCACAAATGTCTTCTAATGACAGGAGAGAAGGGAAACCAAAGCCCAGAGCAGCAGGGGCTGCTGAACTGGAACTCAGAGGATGGATCCAGGCCTGCCAGCTCCAGCCCCATGTTTAGAAATGAGAGCCACCAAATGTCAAATATATGGTTAAAGATAAAATCCAGTGTGATATCAAGCCATGTTCCAAATATCAGATCCAGGGCCAGATGCCTCTCTGCCCCATGAGCAGCTAGCACCTGCGCTGAGCCCCTTGGTCCCTCAGCTCTCCCTCTCCAGAGCTAACCTTCGGCCCCAGCCCCTCAGGGGAGGCTATGGATGATGGTGCTCGTTCTCTTCCCAATTTAAGCATCCTCAGAGGTCCTCCAGTGGAGGCTACCTATTACTTTTGAAAAAGGGCCTTGGAGAAGGAGGAAAAGAGGAAGGAAGGACATGAAGCTTTAGGAAGTGGTGGTTGGTGAGCTCAGTGGTAGGGACACAGATCTCATTTGAGCTTGTGAGAGCCTGTGAAGGTGGGCAGTATCGTCCTCAACTTGACAACCTGCAGCTCAGCAAAGTGAAGTGAAATTGTGCAGTCAGCGGTGGAAGCCAGGCTAGAGCTCAGGGTCCCTGATTCCTTCCACATTCAGCCCCACGTGGAACCAATCTGAACTCTAGAGGAAGCGATAACAGAGCAAAGCCCCATAGTGAGGACTCCTTGGGATGGACTAAAACCCAGGCTCCAGCGATCTTCACAGCCTGCACAGACCCAGCGTGTAACCCCTAGACAGATGGTTCTTCCCAGAGCAGTGGGGTGGGTTGGACTCCTTGGTGAATCTGATGGGAGCTCTGGATCCTCTCTCTGGGAAACATACAGTCACCCACGTTCACATACAACCTTGGCTGATATTTGGAGGGGTGCTAAGTGTCAAACAAATTCTCTTTGAAGCCCAGGAGTCTCCCATGTGGACTTAGATAAAGAAAGAGAAAGTGTTTGGGAGAATGAAGGAAGGAACAGCATGTTCTGGCAGGTGAGGGAAGGAGGGAACAGATGCCTCTCCATTGGCATGGCAGGGCTCGGAGGCCCAGGACCTCCCAGGGTGCGGCTTGCTGGTGTCTAATGAGGTCATCCAAAGCATGCCACAGCTCTGGGGGCCTGAGAGAGGCAGGGCCTCAGGCCGCCTTGACCCGTCCTGGAACTGGGTTTTGCTCTAATAAAGGAAGTGGTGTCCATTCCCCAACTTAGCTACCCAAGTCTCCTTTTGGAAATCAGATCTCTGTCTCCGAAGCCAGCAGTAGCCACAGTGAGAATAAAAACCCAGAGTGGTTTTGGTCTCAAGGTACCGCCGCCCACCTGCCAAGGACAGGGTGGCGTCAGGCTAACCCAGCCCCAGCCGGCCCCGTTAAAAATAATGATTACGTAAAGAAAACATCCCCAGAAAAAGAATCCCGACTAATCTCAGCTGGACTGGAGTAAAGGTCTCCCGTCTTGACCCACCTCTGAGGCGAGACGGGCCCAGTCTTCCTTGAATTGTTGTCCCTGTTCCATTCATTCATGTGCTTGCTCAGCAGGCACCCAGACAGTGTGGGTTTCTCGGCTGTTCCACGTCCAGCCTCTTCAGTCCGCTTTAGGCCCCGTAACTTCAGCCCCAGCAAAGGCAGGACCTCCTCCTCCCCTGCCCTTCCCACTTTTTCTCTCTTCTGCCTCTACTCCAGTTTTCCACTCTCCCTTTCTTTCTCCTTCCTCTTTCTCTCGTCCTCCCTCTCTTCCTCCTCTTCTAAGATTCCGGCGGTGTTAGTTTTCCATCACTGTAAGGAATCTCTGACACCTCTGAGATGATCAACTTATAGAGAAGAAAGACCTATTTTGATTCAGGGTTTCAGTCTATGGCCACTTGGCCTGTGGGAGGCTCGGTGCAACCTGGAGGGAGTGCATGGCAGAGGAGGCAAATCCATTCATTTCATGGTAGCCAAGAAGCAAAGAAACAGAAAGGGGTCAGGATCCCAATATCCCCTTCAAGGTCACGCTCCCAAAGACTAACTTCTTTCCACTAGGCCCAACCTCCTAGAAGTTCCCCTGCCTCCCAATAGCACAATGGACTATGGACCATGCCTTCAGCACCCGGGCTTTGGGGCAACTTTGAAGATCCAAACTCCTACCTTCCACCTGTCCTGTGCATCCTCTTACCTCATTGCCGCCTTAGCTGTCACTTCCAGCAGCTCACAGGTATGTGTAGAAAGGACCTGGGGGCAGTCCCAATCCCAGGACCTTGCTGGAGGAAGGAGGCTGGCAGTTGTGGTCAAGGTACTCCCAAGCATAAGAAGCAGCTTCTGTCTTCTCACTGCTTTAGAAAGCATGCACACAGTTCTCACTGCTTCTGGTTCAACAAGAGGGAAATGGCCCTGCCAGGGAATTGTCTCACGAGAATTAATGTCTCAAGGTCCTGACTCAAGGTTGACATGCCTCATCCTGTTATCCTAAGTGCGTGACTCTAACAAGGGATTTCTGGAAAAAAATTTCTGTTGTGAAAATCAGGTCTGCCAACCCCAGACCCCTGGCTGTTTCTCTAGGTATCCACTAGGAAGGACACACGTTGGGACTGTTCAGCTGCATGGGCCTAGCTAGCTGTTTCACATATTCCACTTCCACTTGCTCCCCTCAACAGGATCTGTAGGAAATGAATGATTATCCTCATTCCACAGAGGAGCTGGGGCCATGGAGGGGCGGTGTAGATGGGAGCATTGAGGGTGGGGTGGTCAGGGGACAGCATCCCAGCTCAGACAGGTTAAATCACTGGCCCAAGGTCACACAGTTCTGGTGCTGAGGGGCCAGCATCTTCTACCTGCAGCTATGTCTGGCTAGAGACCCAGTGGGGACAGACACACAGGGCTAGAGCCAGTCTGAATGGGTTCAAGGCCAAATTGGCCTGTGAAATCTACCTGTGAGTCCTCTGTCAAGTTACTCTCTGTGCCTTGCTTTTCTTCATCTAGAAAATGTGAGTGATGAAAAGAATCTTCACCTCCTGGGCTTGTTCAGAGGATTAATCTACATAGAGGGCTTAGAACAATCAGAACAATCTTTGCCTGTCTAGGCACTTGAAATTAGCTACTAGGACTTCCAGAGGCCCCCGTTCCCCAAGTCTGCAGAAATGCCCACGTTGCTGGGAGCAGGCTGGAGGACCACCTTGGGTGAGGGTGATGGGCTTCTGTTCCCATCTCAGATGTGGAGCCTGAAGCTTGGCAATAGGACGGGGCTGGCTTAGACCCCTGTGGAAACGCCACATTTCAGCCAGCCTTTCTTTCTTTCTTTCTCTGTTTCTTCCTCCCTCCCTTCCTTCCTTCCTCAGCCTCTTTCTATGCCCCATTTCTGCCCCAGGAATTTTGTCCAAAGCACAGATGAGAGCAACTGACTAGCCCTCCAGGAGTTGGGGAGAGCATGAAGCTCCAGAAGAACACTTGTAACAAAGACTGAGAAAGAAGATCATGGAGAGGGAAAGGGCACAGGATGTGAGCCACTGGCTGTTCCAGTGGACTCCATGGAAGTCTGCAGCCAGTAACACCAGGAAGAAGAGGCCCAGCTCCATGGAGCCTGGGGCCATGGAGGAGTGGTGTGAATGGGAGCACTGAGGGTGGGGTGGGTAGGAGGACAGCATCCCCAGGGAATTGCTTTGGACAAAATTCTGACACCCAGACATGGACTTGAATGACAGATGTGATGGACAGAGATTGACAGACGTCAATAGTGAGCAGCTAAATGATTCACTAACTCTTCATTCGGTCCTTCCTTCATTTGTTCACCACTGAGCTCCTGAGCACTGAGCTGGCTCTGGCACTAATAATGGAAGCATCTGCAGGTGAGCAAACAAGCAACAAGGTATCACTGTGAGGAGCACCTAAGGTAGAGGTATTCTGCCTGGGATAGTGCAGGATAGCTTCTCAGAGAAGATGACAGCTGAGTGGGCCTTGAGGGATGAGTAAGAGTTTGATAGGCAGATGATGCAATAATGGAAAGGGGGGCGGGTGGTGCAACAGGAGAGGGGTGATCTAGACACAGGCAAATCCAGTTGCATATCAGTCTGATTTCCCCTCTGTGCTATGTTTTTATTTTGGTTAATCAGAGCCAGATCAGAATTCCTTGTAAAGTTTTAGCCTCTAGATTGACCTACACAAGGAAGCTCCTGCTTTCTTCTCCCCTGAATTTAAAAAAAAAAAAAAAAAAAAAAAGGATACAGTGGTACATGCCTGTAATCCCAACTACATTGGAGGCTGAGCGGGAGGACCTCAGGTTCCAGGCCAGCCTGGAAAACTTCATGAGACCCTGTCTCAAAATAAAATAATAGCCAGGCATGTTGGAGCACGCCTGTAATCCCAATGGCTTGGGAAACTAAGCCAGGAGAATTGTGAGTTCAAAGCCAGCCTTAGCAACTTAGCAAGGCCCTAAGCAATTCAGTGAGCCCTGTCTCTAGATAAAATATTTTTAAAAGGTTGAGGATGTGGTTCAGTAGTTAAGCACACCCCAGATTCAGTCTCTGGTACCAAAATAATAAAAATAAAATAATAAAAAAAGGGCTGTGAATGTAGCTCAGTGGTAGAGTACCCCTTGGTTCAATCTCTGGTATCCCCCGCCCCGCACACACACACACACACACACACACACACACACACACACACACACACACAAAGAAAAAGAAAAAAATACAAAGAAATAAAAACAAAGAGACCTCTCTGGTGCTGGGATTTCCTATAACAGAGAACAAGGCTTTAACTCCATAAGTTCTTGCCGTCTTGCCATCCTACGTCCTGCGAAATACAACACACTTGGACCTTCATTCATACTAGCATGTTAATGACTGGCGTCAGATACTTTCTTGTGCCTGTCTTAGATGAAGAGAGAGTGACGATCTCTGGAAATATGTTTGTATGCTGGAGGTGGGGCAGCAGGAGCATGGTAATTAGTGGGAGTCCCTGCGTGGGGTGGGAAAGAAATCAAGAACTGAGCTGAAGAGTATTAGAGATCAACGTTTGCAGCCCTGCCCGGGGAAATCCAGTTTGTTGCAATCCAGCACTGAGGCCCAGAGGGGGAATGGTAACACTGGTGCTTTCATATCTCCCCTCTCCCTCCCCATCTTTCCCCAGGTTCCCTGGGAGCTGGTTGCCACCTCTAACAGGGTCCTAAGAGAAATGAGGTCCCTAATCGATTTGCCAGGAGTACAAACAGTATTGTCCCCTCAGGGGAGGAACTCGGGGGCCCTGCTTCCATGGCTGGATGTAGCTGGGGTGGGGTGGAAGGGGCTGGGCTGTGGCCACAGTGTGCACTGGGGATGGCACAGACCCCACACCCCCCGCCAGGCTGAGCAGCCAGTGTGCTGGGAAGGATGGAGGATCCCAGAGCTGTGTCCCTGTGGAGGTAGCTTCAGAGATGGTGGCACTGGTGGCACGGCTCCCTTCTCCATGGTAACTGGAGAGCCGCCACATCAGGGAGGGCCACCGCGGCAACAACTGCTCCGGAACAGCTCCTCTGGGCCTCCTGGCCTCCTGGGTTTGCTCTGGTCCTCCCCAGGGGTAGCTGGGCTGGGGCGCCAAAAAGAGGTGAGATGCCTTCTTGGTGAGCCTGGCTTCTGGGCATGGGGGTGGGGAGTCTGTTTGCTCTGATCAGATCAGACTGATAAGGGATTTGAAGTTGGCTGGGCTGAGGGGTTGAGGGAGAGGTGCTAAGGAGAGTCTCTCGGATGTCAGGACTGGAGCTGAGGCTTGGGCTAAGGAATCCTGATTTCTAGTCCCCCACAGGCCTCCTGAGGGCTGGGTTCTACCCCTGGGTCTATGAGCCAGAGTTCAGGAAGTCCTGGTGTCAGTGGGATCTGGAGGAAGCCCACTGTCCCACCTAAGGCCTGAGCAGACCCTGGAGTCTCCCAGGTCAGGAAAGAATGTTGGGGCTGCTGGCTAGAAGGGAACGACAGACCAGGCAACTTGGCTCAAGGTTCTGCCTCTTCCACACTCCTCAGCCTCACTTCCTTCCTCCTTCTCCTCTCTGCATCCCCTCCTTCGTCCCACCCTCCTCTTCCTCTCTTCCTTCTCACTCATTTCTTCCTTTCTCATCATCTCTTTTTAACATTTTGCTGAGCATCTACTATGTATGGAGCCAGGGTGGATCAGCACCCTTGCCCAGCTTGCAGTGCTGGGGGCCAGGATTTGATAAGATCCAAAAAGGACCAAGTTGGAAGTGGGAAGATCTGAAGAGAAGAGAGGAGGAGCTATGGGTATGGGACTCTCCCCTTCCCCTTCCCTCCCTTCCCGTTTTCCTCTCCCAACCCTCCTCATTATTCCGACAGTTTCTCCGGCAGGAAATGCATAATGTAGAGAAGAGCGGTTCACATGGTTCCCCAAGGACTCCCAGGAATGCCCTAGAAGGGAGGGACACAAGTCAGCTGGAGGCAGCTCGGTGGGTAAGAAGGATGGAGTTCAGCACCTCTGGGCAGGTCCATCTCCTGAACCTGTGCGCTCATTCATAAAATTCGTACCAAGTCCCCAGCACTGGGCTAGGCCCTAGCAACCCACTGGAAGGCAGGCAATAAACAAACACAGAGTTACAGAGTGACAAGCATCTGGAGAAAACCAGCTGGCTGAGGTGCTAAACAACTCGGGAACCCAGGGCATAAGGGACAGAACCCAGCTACTGAGACAAGGGACTGGGGGTGTGTGTCGGGGGGCAGCACCGTGATAACACTCCTGAAGAAGAGACTGGCAGGTGTGAGAAGCCGAGGGTAACGGAGCTGCTGGTTCCCAAGGGCTGAGGGCTGAGAGCAGAAAGGGACAAACAGAGTCTGCAGAGGCAGGAAGTAGCCTGAGCAGCATCAGGGCCTAGAGGGGCCCCTGAGGAGTTGGGATTTTATTCAAAACGCAGTGGGAATTTAGCCACTGAAGGTTTTAAGCAGGGGTAACATGATCCTGGTTTCATTTTGAGAAACTCTCTGGCTTCTGGGTGGAGATGGGGTGGTGGAAGGGCAGAAGGGACCTAGGGAGAGTGGGAGGAGCTTCCTGCAGAACTCCAGGCAGTCCCGGCAGGGGGCCATGAGCCACAGTGCTGAGGGAGTGAAGGGAATATTTAAAATACATTTCAGAACCAGAAAGATAGAACTTGCTAATGGGATGAAGTTGGGGGTAGAAAATATATATTTTTGCCAATTGTCTTCTGGCCTTTCTCCCCCACTAGAATGTAAACTCCATGAGGGTAGGGATCCTTTCATCTTATTACTGTTGTTTCCCCAGGACAGGCTTATTTATTTATACATTGCAGTGCTAGGGATCGAACCCAGGGCCTTGTGCATACCAGGTAAGAGCTGTACCACTGAGCCACACTCCAGCCCCAATACAGGCTTTCCATAAAGATTTCATGCATGATAATTAAGTCAGTGAAATAGGGAATGAAAGAGTGGGTTAAGAATGACACCCCCCCCCAAATTTCAGGCTCAGCCCCCTGCGGGGGTAGGGGGAGCACAGAGAAGGGAGGCAGAGGCGTGAAATCAAAGTTGGTGTCAGGGAAGCAGTGACAGTACTGTGTCTGGTCCAGCAGGCAGTTAGTGAGCATGGGTAGCATGAGAGGTAAGGGCCTGGCTGTCTGGGCCAGTGCTGTACACCCAGCAAGTACAGCAGCACCAGGAATGGAGGAGAGGCTCCGTCTGTGTCTCCCGAATGAAGGAACAAATGAACAGCCTTGAGAGGGGATTTCTGATTTCTGGACTGAAACCAGAAATGTGGATGTTACCCATTCCTGGAAGTGTTGAAGGCCACAGGAGTAGGGAGGTCAACTAGGAAAGCATGTGGACAGAGAAAGTGGGTAGCCCCACCCACCCCTGTCCAACAACCAGGAATGGCTGATTTAGGAAGCAGGGACCCTGACTCAGCTAAAAGCAGGACCCCACATTTTCCAGAGACCAGTATGGGGCAGCCCTGGCATATGTGCATTAACCACCATCCTTCCAAGGCCCCCTGGGGTGGAGGTGTAACTGAGATCACCCAGGAGAGATCCAGAACCTTGGAGTCCTCTGGCAGCCCTCTGTAGTGATGTGTGCTGTCCTGGGCCTAGGTATGGTGACCCCAAGCCCAGGATACCGAGGCCAGCTTGTGTGACACCTATTGTGGGTACCAGGGTTTGCACACAAAGGCTGGGAGCCCCTAACTGAAGGAAAGCATTCACTGCAATGATGTCTCCTGGAGCAGGGAAGATGGGCAGGGGTGGAGAGTCTGGGTCACATCACAACCCAAGCCCAGGTGTCCACCTACTCACTGCAGACAAGACGTGCTAGATGTTCCTTTGCCTTCCTTATACCCATGATGGGTGGGGAAGAAGCAGAGCGAGTCTTGCTGGGAATTCTGCTCTGGAGTTAGGGAATTGGGAGGAAATCACACTGAGAAAGGAGCTCATCTGACCCTTGCTCACAAGCCCTGGGTTCTGGACAGAACTGGTTGCACAGCCCCAGGTGAGTCAGTCTTCCAACTGGAGGAGGTCTTCTAACCAACTTCCATGCGGAGCGGAAGTTCTTCCCATGAACCCTGGCACAACACATTACCATCCAGTATCTCTTAACGTGGCCAGGGAATGGAGTGGTGATTTTTCTAGAAAGAGTCTCTTTTCAGAAAGACCTGGAGGACCTACACCAGATGTTCATGGTGCTACCTTCAGAGGGAGGAGAGGGATGGGATGGGGGTTTCCCTATTGATTATGAGATGTTTTGCAATACCGTGCATTAAATTTCTACGAGCAAACAAAACAAATTTCTTCTTTATCCAAATGCAAGTGTTTCCTAACACTTCCAGGTATCATTGGAAACCCCTTCCTCTCAGGATCTTTCAAATACCTGAAAGTGGAGATCAGGTTTCCACTGAGTCTTCTCCAGGTTAGATCTTCCTTATGTAACTTGGTCCCCAGACCAGTCCCTCCCAGGCACCTCTTCCGTGTGCCAGAGAATAAAACTCCGGAGCATTGCACAGCGAATAGACCAGTCACTTCCTGAGCTGGAGGTTACCACTGGCTAGTTAACGAAGTCTGAGAAGACATCCCTCACCCCTTTGTGTGTGGGTACGTGTGTGTGTGTCATGGGGTGCACACACATAAAAGGAAGAGTGAGTTAAATCACTCCTTTCCCTGAGTTCTAGTTTTCTTATCTATACAAGGGGAAACAGTGCTTTCCCTATAAGAATCAACTGAGCTTAAGGAAATGAAAAATTTAATAGCACAAATTCCCACACTAGGGGCTAATGCCTCCTAAGCCATGTTTGGTTTAGACAGGGGCTAGACAACTGGGCCCACAGAGCCAGGCTGCTTGGCTCGGAATCCCAGATTTGCCACTTGCAGGCTGTGTGGTGTTTTGTTTTGTTTTTTAATCTTTTTTTTTGTAGTTGTTGATGGACCTTTATTTTATTTATTTTTATGTGGTGCTGAGAATCAAACCCAGGACCCCACACATACCAGGCAAGTGCTCCACCACTGAGCCACAACCCCAGCCTAGGCTGTGTGTTTTTGACTTGCAGTTTTCTTCTCTGTGGAACAAAGATAATGATAACACCAATCTTGGAATGCATTTTTATGAGCATTAAATGTATTGCCATGCACTTGATAAATGGCAGCTGTTTGGAATTATCCCTACTCTTACTCTTTTGCATGGAGATAAGGGCTTCACTGGAACAAGGCTAATTCCTAGCACCTATTTTGAAACTTGAGGGCATCCAAACAAAATGGTCATGTTATTCGACTGAGTTGCTCCACAGCACCCCCAACCCCCACATTTGTAAGCAACGGTTATGCGCCAGGCGCTGTGCCGAAGCCTCTGCAGGCACCAACTTGTTTCATCCTCCTGACAGCTCAGTGAGGTAGAGCCCATTGTTGCTCCCATCACAAAGATGAGAAGAGGAGGTTCAGACAGGTTAAGTGCCATCACAACTAGAAAGTGATGGAGCCGGGGCTCAAACCCAAATCCTTTTGACTTTAAAAACCCCTCTCAATCACCACAGTGGCCTGTTATCTTAAGCAGTTCCCCAGTTTGGGCTCCCCTCCAGCTCCCAGCTGCCTCAGAGTGGCTTCTTTGACAGCAAGGCCCGCTGTCTCTGCAAGGTGGGGCCTCCTGTTTCTCTCACCCAGCTCTGCCCTCCTGTACACTCTGCCCCTCTCTTCCTCCAGGGCTCTGGGTGCATGGTGACACCTTACACTCCAGCTACATCCCCTTGGGTCCCCTCAGGATCTCCCTGCCATATGATATCCCTGGGCTGCTTGCTGGATTCTCAGCCTCTGACCATGAAATGGTTCCACATTGATCTACAAAAACAAAAAAAAAAAACAGCCATTCTGGACGTGGGCCCTGATGCGTAATATCATTATGGAGCCAGCAGTGCATCCCATCCCATTATCGCCTGGCCAAGCTCCTCTGAGCAAGCCTGGCTGCAAATGGCTTTCTTTGAGGGGAGGGGGGCACAGCCCCTATCTGCCCTCCACTGTTGGAGGAGAGATTTTATCTTTAATTGACAACTGGCTGCCTGCCACCACCCTACCAGCCCAGGCTCCCAGATGATTTTCTCTGACACTTCAGGAACCAGCTTCTCCTTGCTTCTTCCCTCCCCTCAGCCCTGGGGTCCTCACCCTGATGTTCCGTGCTGTCCCGGAGGCCAGCTCTGGGTGTGCTCTTGTCCTTCCTTAGTGTGATGGACATGGAGATTTCAGAAATCTGCAGAGAAACACTTGAGAGCTGCAGGCTAAGGGCGAGAAGAGAGCTGACACTCATTGTATGTCTACCGTCCGCTGTGCGTAGACACATGCCACCCGGCCGGCAGGCTCTCACACTGCCGCCGAGACAGCTGCTGTTCTTGTCCCCATTCTACAGACAGGGCAACTGAAGCTTGGGGAATCGTCCCCAAGTTATCCAGCTAATAAGTGGCAGACCAAGACTGAATGGAGGTCCCCACGACTCAACTTTTGCCTCTAGTGAGAGTAAGGAGTAAGACATAGAATCAACAACAACAACAACAAAAACACAAGCATCCAGACCCAGCTACGTAATTTGCAGAGCCTAGTGCAAAATAAAACCATAAGACCCCTTGTTCAACAATGACTAATTCTACAATGGTGAGAACTGAACATTAAACCCAGTGTGGGATCCCTCTGAGTAGTCGACTCCAAGGGTTACAGCCCATGAAGCTGCTCTGCCTGTGCCCCTATGTGAATGTGCAGGACAGCAGTGAGAGTCATGGCCCATGAGTAACCATGGCTTGCCACCCCCACCCCATCCTCCCCAGGTCTAGGTATGCTCTTTGCCTACCCAGAAGCTGCCCCTGGTAGTGCTACCGGTCCCTTGTTGGCTTAAGTCCATCAACCATCCAGTCATCTCAATGAGTAGCATCCCCTGGGCCTTGGCCCACTTAGAACTCGTGCAATGACAGGGAGGGGAAGCCCAGGCACAAACAAGCAGGAGCAGAGGGGACCTGCCTAAACAAAGACTTCTTCCTTGTGAGGGGGACTCAGGTGGCAGCAGTGGAGATCAGACCACTGCCTGGAAGTCAGAGGTCCAGGGTTGGACCCTTTTGAGCAGATTTCTTTCCTCTGAGATTTTACCTCTGGCTATAAGACATCAGGGCTGCGCTGCATGGAGAACCCCTGGTGGGGCAGGATTATGCTCAGATGTGTAGCATACTTCAGGTGTAGTGGGTGGGGCCCCAGGGAGGTCCCCACAGACCCAGAGTCAGAAAGGAGAGGCAGACACTCACATAGAGGAGCAACAGGACACTCCGATGTCTTTATTGAGGTTCGAGCACAGCATGACAGTTGAAGGCATGCAGACAGGGCAGCAGGGCCCGGCCTAGGCGTGCCTCAGACGCACATGAGGAGACAGCTTGAGAGAAGGACTGAACCAACACCAGGGAGGGGCAGGGGGGAGGGCCGAGGCCAAGGCTGAAGGGGTCACCTGGCCTCTGCTATTGCACGCATCCTCTGGCCACTGGCCAGGAAGTACAGTATTGCAACTGGTCTCCTCTTGCCCGAGGTGTCCCCTTCTCAGACCCCTGAGCCAGATGGGCAGACAGACCCCTTTCCTGCCCGTCTGCCCAGCAGCATCTTTGAAAACAAATGGATGAAGGAGACAGAACAAATAAATCAAAAATGAAAGTGACAAAATGCCCCCCTCGATCAAGGACACAGATGGGGTGTTGGAAGGAGTGGAAGAGGCTGCAGAGGAGCCCCTGGAAGTCCCCCCACAACTGGGGTGTGGGGTGGGAGGTAGAACCCCAACCTGGGGTGGGGGTGGGCTAGTGGAGCAGTGACCCTGGGGGGCAGTCTGGCCGCCTACAGACTTCAACAGACCACCTGTTGACAGGGTAAACACCCCCAGAGAGTATCCTGGGACCACCCAGGTAGATGGGTGGTTCTCAGGTGCACTTTTCCTGGGACATTCCCCACACACAGTCAGAAGAAACAAGGAATCTTTGCGGGGAAAGAGGATAGGAAACTTGGGGTGGGGAGAGGGTTCAGGGAGACATAGCCTACAAAGAAGACAGACCACCAATAGCACGTGCACTACACACAAGAGTATAGTATGTATGAATATAGATACTATATGTGCATATATATCTCTTCAATGTACAGTAGAACAGAACATCAGACCCAGACGGCTCTGGGCCCCGAGGGTCGCATGGGAGGTTTTCCACCAGTCTTGTGCAAACAAGGATATCTGAGTCTTTCCCAGTGAAAGATTCGTGCCTGGGTTCCAGAGTTTCCCTAAGCCTCTGGCTTTCTGTCTGTCTGCCTGTCTGTCTCACGTTGGTGCCGCTTTAAGAGAGGGTGAGGACTTCAGCCTGGGCATAGTTGGACGAGAGGGCGTCTTGGCAGGTCTCTGTGTTTAAAGAGCACAGGTGTGAGACACTGGGACGCACGCTTTCGGCTCAACATTGCCTTCTGGGGGCAAGGAGTTCAGCAAAAGAAAGGGAGAAACAAAGAGTGACATGTTAGAAGAAAGCCAGCAGCTAACCCACAGGCTGTGGGCTAAGGAGCAGGCCAGGAGCAGAGCTGGAAGGCATAGGGAACCCCGGGCCAAGAGGCCAGAAAGCATAGGGATGGGTTAAGGAATGAGGTGAGCCCTTCATCACCCCTCTGGGCCCAGGGGTTGCAGTGCATATCCACATCTGCTCCGGTAACCAAGCTCCAGAAACTACTAGGCTCTCAGGTCTTCAGAGCTGCAATGCGGTAGAAGGACCATAACTCTACACCCTAGCAGGGAGGCAGTGGCGAAGCTTCTTAATGTAGCCTGTGGCTCATGGGACCCCAATTACTGCCAGCCCTTAAGCTTTCCCCCAAATAGCTGCACTGCCCTCACCACCCTGGACTATTCCACTGTCCCAAGGAGCTGTTAAGGCTCTAGAATATGGAGCCACATCATGCCCAGCTCCTGTCCTCAACATGGGAGGACAAGTCTCTGCAGAAGGAGAGCTTGCAGCCTCAGTTGGTAGTCAGGGAGGATGCATGTGCCTGTCTCAAGAGGGAAGACCAGCACATGGTCATCTGAGAGCCCACCCCTCTGAGAGCCCTTAAGGGCATCCCACCCTCAACCTGGGATGTCTGAGGCCTGGGCCTTCTCTTCCCCTACCTCCTAGTGATGGCACTGGCAGAGCAGCTAGTGGGGTTGGTCCAACAGTGTGATGGGAGTTTCAGTCCCTCCAGGTTGGTGCTGGGACAATTCCTGAAACTATTAGGTCTATGGTGGTCCAGGGCAGGGATCAGAGTTGGCATCCAGACCTCACAAGCTTCTACGCTGAGGGGCTGCCATGCCACACTGGAGAGCCATTATTTTTATGGGGAAAGTGTGTTCTCATCTTGGAGCAACACCATTTCCAACTCCTTAAGATTATGGGCCTCAACTACCTCCTTAAACACAGTCCTGTTGGCCCACTCGTTTCTGGGCCACTGAATATAATTCTTGAAGAAATCAGAGAACACAAGGCCCTTCAGAGCCCCATTTCTGAGGACAAGGAGAGGGCTGTGGTCTTCCCTTGTATTCCTAATGCAAATCTGTGCATGTCACAAAACCCAGTCACGGGTCCCCTGCTCACTAAGGGAAGGGGAGTGTCTCTGGATCCCACAGACTTCTAGATCCTAAGATGCACTGGTGGGAATTCCTAGTAAACCATGAGGTCTAGGATGGGCGTGGTAGGAGGTGGGAGCCCTGGCAAGGCTGTGAAGTGTCCCTGGGTGCTCTGGAGAAAGAATGGCCTTAGGTGGCATCTTCAGTGACTTCCATGGGCTCTCCATCATCACGGGCCTCTTCCCAGGAATCTTTTTGTGAAATCTAGCTGCATAAGCCACCAAGGGTGGGTCAGGGGTTTCAGAGGATGACATACACTCAGGCCAGGGCAGAGGAGGCCCTTCTCTCTCAGATGCTCTGTGAAGGGCAGCCCTGGCTAAGGGGTGCACCCTGGAGCCCAGGCCTGCCTCCTCCGCTCCTGCCCCTGTCAGTCCTGGTCTTAGGCTGAACCGTCACTTGCCCATTGGTGGCTCCTCACAGCCACTCCTCTCGGAAGCCTGGAGCTGAGAAGCTGCCTCCAGGGTTCTCGGTAATCCTGCTACTGCCTGGGCTGCTCCCTGCCCTATAGAAAGGGTCAAGTCCCAGCTGTGGGGAAAGGTTTCTAGAAGTCAAAGAAATGGGTGCAAGTCCAAGGAAAGTCACCCTACACCGTCAGGTTCCGGGTGAGAGAGAGCCTTCTCTTGAGGAGCGAAGCCCAAGGCCTTGGGAGGGCCTGAGGCCAGCGCAGGTGGCGGCCTCCTGGGAGAAGGCCCAGCGGACTTGGGAGCTCTATAAACACTGCTCCTCTCGATTTCCCAGGGACCCAGGAAGGCCCAGAGGTCGAGAGAGGTAGCTGGGGGCAGACACCGACACAGCTCTCCCGCCAGCTGGGTCCTGTCTCTACCCTACGGAGCCAGAGAGCCAGGCGGGAAGTGTGGGAGCCCATCCCCCAAGACACTAGGGGCTCCAGCCTGGCACTGCTGCATCATGTTGCCCAGGGACATCTGTGCCCCCCACAGGGGTGCCGTGAGCATGCCCATCCCCGTAGGAGGAAAGAGGGGAGGAGGCGGTGGGTGCCGTGGAAACTTGGGCTCCTGACAACTTGAGGGCTGCCACAGAAATAGCCGCCTCAGCTCCCTGAACCAGAACGGCAAGCCAGAGGAGAAAATAGCTGTGGTGCCCGTGCTAAACCGGACACCTTGCTCATCGTGTCCCTGTCAGGCCACACCCCAGAGCCCTCTGCCAGGAGCTCTGCAGGGCAGGGCGGGACCTGTCATGAGGAAGCTGGACTTTGACACTTGGCCCTGGGGGGAACGGTGCCAGCATCTCCATCCTGCTCCACAGGCTTCCCATCACTTAAAGCCTGCATCACTTACAGGGGCCTGTCCCCTTCTGAAGAGTGGTCACATATATGAGGCCCCTATAGGATCTCTTTTCAAATCGTTGGGGTCACTTTATTCTGACAGCAAATGGCAGGCAGGCCATTGAACGGACCTTTATGAAAGGGACATCCCACATCTGCCCAGGGGTGAGGGAAGCACTTAGAAGGGGGTACTCCTGGCACAGGTTCTGATTGTACCCTGAACCCCAGGAAATAATCAGATCTTTCTGTCCAGGCCACCTTTTGAGGTGGCCCCAGATTTTCCAGCCTCCTGCCAAGGTCCCCAAAAAACTGTCTTGCCAAGCCTATCTTTGCCACCCTGGGGGAACAGATATGGACCTTCCTTAGTCACTCCTTCCACAAAGTTGCATAATCTGACTCTAAAAATTGCCAGGCGCACGGCTCTGCTGTCAGGTCTCATTCCCATCAGGTGAAACAGGAAATGTCTGGGCCGAGGCCTTTGTTCCTGGGTCCTGCGCTGAGGAGGGCTGGGTTGGCAGGTGTGGGCCTCCCTGGGAGTGGCACGAGCAGGTGCGGGTGGGATGGCTTCTGTCTCCTTGCTTCCCCTCAGCTGTCCCTGCGCAAGGTGTACCCCTGCTCACCCAATGACTCACCAACCTGTTGTGCTCCCAGGCTCGTTAGGTAAATGAACACACTTAATTATAGAAATTAGATGAGTCTCTGGTTCTGGCAGGAATACAGAGCACAGAGGCTGGGTGGGAGCGGCAGGTGACTCACAGGCAGGGCTGGGAATCTGAGAGCAGGAGAGAGAGGAAAAACTGTCGCGGAAGCAGAGGAAGCAGTGTGGAGAGAGAGGCTGCAGTACGGGATGCAGATGGGATGCCGGGTGCTGCCGCTGGGTGTCACCCACTGAATCGGGGCACAGGCCTCCCTGCACCGAGGCACCCGGCCATTGGCTCGTGCCAAGTTTGGGGCTTTGATTCTAGGAACCCCCACCTGCATCCCCAGGCCACAGGGGAAACACCAGGTCTCTTCTCCCAGGGCAGCACTGCCTGCAGGCACTGCTCTTCCAAGGAGTCAGACCCCCCTCGAGGGCAGCAGAGATGCCCCACATGACATCTTGGTGTGGGATGGACAGGCAGACAGACAAGACAGGCTGCTTGGTTACTGGTTAAAGGCCACGAGAAATGGGAAATGCATTTGTGGTGATTAAAAATATTAAGGTAGGCATGGCTCTCTAGCAAGGCTGGCTAGTCGCGGGTGCACGGTGCACCACCTTCTGAACCATGGGACGCTGAGACAGAGGCAAGGCCCAGAGACGCAGGTCCCATGTATGCCACTTCAATGGCTCAGAGGAGACCATACTGGGGGGGTAGAGTAGGAGCTCTGGGAATAACCTCCCCCCTGCTGTCAGGCTCCAGAGCTGAACGTTTTGGGGAGCTGAGTGCTATGCAGGGACACTCAGGGACCTGAATCTCCATCCTAATGGCGGTTCCCTCCCATTGCTCCCTAAGGCCCCAGAAGGAATGGGGACATGAGTGTGCCTGCTCGGGTATGTGTTCCCCTGCCCAAAGCAAGGAAGGTCAAGGGTGAAGCTAAGGGGCCGAGTGGCCAGGTGGGGGGCTGGTGAGGGGGTGAAAGGGATGGGAGAGCAGGAGCTTTCTCGGAGGGTAGGGCGAGCTGTACCGCGACGCCAGTGGAGACAGCCCCAGACTGGTTCCAGCCGCTCCGGCTATGTTGTTTAGACTCCGGGACTTTTCACAGCCTTGGTGAAGAAAAGGCATATGGGTCAGGGGGACGCAGCTCCTCACCAGAGCAGGTCTGTGGAATCCATGCTCCCGGGGACCCTGCAGGGCCAGTGCTGGCCCTAGGCTGGGGTCGAGAAATTTGTCCCTCCTGGGAGAGATTTCTTGACTCTCTGATCTTTTGGTCTCCTAGGTTCCTGAAGACAGACTCCAGAACCCCACACCCAGCTGCCCTTTATCCTATCCTGTCCCCAGATAAGTTCCTCAAGAGCTTCTTGATAGCCCAGCTCCACATAGACCCTACAACTTCCAGCACCCATCCTAAGAAGCCCCAGTTAGCACCTGCCACCTTCCTCCCAAGAAGCTGACTCTCTACCCAGGGGCACTTAACCACTAAGCCACATCCCCAGCCCCTTTTGTTATATTTTATTTTGAGACAGGGTCTCATTAAGTTGCTTAGGACCTTGCTAAATTGCTGAGGCTGCCCTTGAACTTGGGATCCTCCTGCCTCAGCCTTCCAAGCTGCTGGGATTACAGGCGTGCGCCACCGCTCCTGGTGGAACTGACACTGGACACATAGGCAGCTTCGGGTTAATGATGAGGTCTGTGCCGGTGGCTGGAGAAGGCGGGGAACCATTCTCTCCTGGTCCTACATGTAGCTGAGTGCAGAAGAGTATGGCATGGGAGTGTGGGGAAGCTGTTGAGTGCACACTGAGAGTCTGGCAATGTTAACTCACGCTCACTTAGCAGGGCCTGTTTCCCAGCAACCCACCTGTTCCCTCTCGAAGGTCACTCTAATTGGCTGAGTTACATGCTTGTTGCCAAGAAGCAGTGTGGAGGCATCTTGAAAATAGAGCAGCAAGGCCCCACAGGCACCTCAGAGAGATAGGGTGGTGGGACACAGGCTCCCCGGCTGCGTGCAGGTGCACGCGACCCCCTTTCATAGATTCAGCTGCTCCCAGGACCACGGGGTCCCTCCTGACTTGAGCCCTCACAGATTCTTCCACACCATTACTTGCTCTGAGCACAGGGAAAGAAGCAGGAGTGCTTGGCACTTAGCTCTGTGTGCTCAAGTCCTCCATGGGGATAGGGTCCCCTCTGCCCCACATTCTAGGTCAGCAGGCTCCAGTTAGAGCAAGACTTTGGGTTTGTACCTGGGTATGGTGGAACCATTATATGGTAGGGGGGAGAGGCAGGAGAGAAGGGCATGTCCAGGGCCTGAGGACTGGGATCCTGGGGGAATAGCCAGGGGTGTCCAAGGTCTGAGCACATTCCATCTGCTGTCATTTAGTTGGGACCACTGGGCCCTCTCCTTCCAGGTTAGATTGCTACTCCTGCTTCTACAAACCCAGACACATGTGCAGCAAAGCTGGACAGACCTCTCAGGGCCAGGGAAGGTGCTCTGGGGGCCTGCCTGGTCAGGGCAGCCAGGGGACATCCCCAGGGATCAGAGGCATGGCAGGTCATCTTTCCATCAGCCCCTGCCCCGCCCCCTCACACAACCCAGTCTGGGTCTGAAGTTTGGGGATAGTGAGAAGTAGCAGGTGGGAAGTCTGACTGCTGAAGAACTGACCAGGTAATTTGGGAAGAGATTTGTTTGGGGCGGGAAGAGTCAGGGCCTGTCCTAGAACCAGGCAGGATTTCAGGGAGTTCAGGTCAGGGATAGGAAATTCAAAAAGTGATCAGATGGCCCTCGCCCATCCCTAATCATCTCTAGCCCCGTTTTCAGGACCAGAAGCCCTGGTTCCATAGCCCAGCTTCCGTCCTGCCGCTGGGGCCTGGTGATGGAATTCTAGCTTTCCTTCACATATAAGGAAGGGGCCACTCCCCTGAACTCTGCAAATCCTTCAGAACACTCAGGCCCACTCTCCCTGCCCACCTCACTCTGGTCGCCTCTGGCTCTGCCTTGAGAGGACCATCACCCCCGGGGGCTTGCAGATGTTGGTCAGCTGCCTGGGCTCCAGGGCCCCAGTTAAGAATGGGAGGAATGGGGCCTGTCCAGGGCTCTCCAGAGACCTGGAATCTGACTCTCGAAGGTTGAGGGCATCTCTGGGGACTGCTTGAGTGAAGAAGCCTTAGCTGGGTTCAAGGGAGGCCTAAGGAGAGGCTGGCAGTGACCCTTGGGCCAGGCGTGAAGGCAGCAGCAGGACTCCAAGGCAGAAAAGGTGATATAAATGAAGGGGCTGGGCCCTCAACCCTCTAGCACTGCTTGTCCCATGGCTCCTCTGGCAGCGGAGGTGCTCTGTGGACCCTTTTGGGATGCTGGGACTTTTTCCAGTCCAGAGACAGCAGACCCCATTCTAAAAGCGGGGACGCACCCAGGGCAGAGGAGATGGTGGCCATGGGCTCAGGGGAGTGGGAGACCTCAAGCTCTGTGGGGAGGGGTGGGGAGACTCAGCTCTGCAGGGGCTCCCCACCGGCCCGGCCCGGGGAACCATACCTTTGCGGACACTGCCATCGGCACAGGCATAGTCCCCAGCACTGAGCAGGAAGCAGGCAGCTGCCTTCTTGTTTCTGTCCCGTGTGCCAGAGCGACGCAGGGCCCGGCGCTCCTCGGGGGTAGGGGCGGAGGCCAGGGGCTGGGTGAGGCCAGCTCCCTCCTCGTCCGACAGCACTGCATTGGCGTCACCATTCTGCTTAGAGTCTGAAGGGAGCAGACAGAAAAAAAAGGGGGAGGGTAGGGCTATAGGGGCTGCCTGGGCCTTTCTCTCTCTGTCTTTCTCTCTCTTTGGTACTGGGGATTGAACCCAGGGGCGCATCACCACTGAGCCACATCCCCAGCCCTTTTTTATTTTTTATTTAGAGACAGGGTCTCTGTTATGGTTTGGATGTGAGGCGTTCCCCCATAGTTCACACGTGAGAGAATGGAAGAGGGTTCAGAGGAGAATTGATTGGGTCATGAGAATGTCAACCCCATTAGTGAATTAACCCACTGATGGGGATTAACTGAGTGGTAACTATACATTTGTATCAGGCAAGTGGAGACTTCTCTCTCTGCTTCCTGATCATCACGTGAGCTGCTTCCCTCTGCTACACTCTTCCACCAGGATGTCCTGCCTCACCTGGAACCCTGAAGAATGAAGCCGACTGTCTATGTATGGACAGAGACCACTAAAGCCAGAAGCCCCCAAATAAATGGTTCCTCTTCTACAATTGTTCTTGTTCAGGTCTTTTAGCAAAAAAAAAAAAAAAAAAAAACTAAATAAGACAGTCTTACTGAGTTGCTTAGGGCCTCATTAAGTTGCTGAGGCTGGCTTTGGACTCACAATCCTCCTGCCTCAGCCTCCCAACCTGCTGGGATTACAGGCATGTGCCACCGTGCCTGGCTGCCAGAGCCTTCTTCATAGGGCCACCTGTGTCTCAGACCCGGACCCAGGATGTCACTTGCTCAACCAGAAGAAGGGGCCTAGAATCACTGAGAGAAAATATTCCAGGAGCCAGGAAATAGGCTAAGAGTTGGATGCTGTGCTTGATCTGCACAGCTTTCCTCCCAGCCTCAACCTGAAGTCTTCCCTGAGGGTGAAGCTGAGCAGATGTCCTACGGCAGGACCCTCAAATGATGTCCACCACTCCTAGTGCTGTTCATGGCTCTCTCCCTGCCTCACCTAAGGCAGTTATTCTTGCCTACCAAGCACTTAGACTGAAAGTACCTAAAGGACCCGGAGCTCTCTGCTTGCAGGGCTCCCATGTTTGCAAAGACACCATGCAGAAAAGGCTTCAATTCAGCTCTGTGGTTTTTAGCCCCAACTCCTTGCCTTGGTAAGGGAGTAAGTAGTACAGGTGAGCTGGGCCCTTGGATACAGAGAAGTGAGGTCTGAAGACAGTGGCCTGGCCACTGGCCAAGCAAGCCATTGATGTGACTAGCCATCATGGGCAGCCAAAGGTGTGGCTGACAGGGCTTCAGTGAAGTGCAACTGAGGAGCCCCCCTAAGAACCTCTCCATGTTCAGATGTGAGGATTGGCTCTGAGCCCAGCAGGGGCCTTGGAGTACAGCTGATACCCCTGAGAGACTTACATTCAGGGTCAAGAAGCAGGTACCATGCTGGTGGGTGGGGAGGGGAACCTAGTGGGTGCTGTTCTATCAGAGTCTTCTATAAAGGAAAACCCAAGCCCATGATGGGCACATGCCCAAAGGCCACAGGTAATTGTTCCCACTCAGGTACTCCGTGGAGGATGAATCTTGCTTTGTCCCAGAGGTTAGCCAGGAGCTGCTGCCTCAATCTCTGGCCCAAATCAGTCCCTGGGGCCCCAGCATCCAATAGCCCCCCCACACACACACTAGGCATCCCACATCTCCCCCAGGAGCCCGGGCATCCTGACTATCAGGTGCCAATGCTCTGCAGCCTAACTCCAGGTTGCTGGAGATTGAGAGCTTTCCCATCCTGGTCCGACCCAGATGGAAGTGAGCTCTCTGGCCTTCTCAATTCTTGAAGGACAGGGCACAGAGATCCTTCCGAATGCAGATACCAGTTTGTTCCACCTTCGTCTGCTTCCCAAGACTGTCTGGGCTTCTCCTTCCTCAGTCCTCTTCCATCCCATGTTCAACCCTGAGCCTGAGACTCAATCTAGCTTGTGCTGAACAGAAGGCAGCCTCCCACTGCTGTTACGTTATCGCATTTATTAGGCCAAGACACACCAGACTTGAATGTTTGGAAAGAAGTGATTCATGTGTTGATGCACCTTGGAAGAACAGCTGTCTGCTCTTTGGCTAATAATGACAGCTCCTGACATTAGTAAAGTGGTTTTAACTTCTCAAAGTGCTCTTATACCTATCATTTGGATCTCATCTGGGGTAGAATATTGATATATCACTCCAATTTTACAGAGAAATCTATGCCCAGAGAGGGTATGACACTGGCACACAGCACAGCAGCCAGGAGGGGATCAGAAACCAGGGCTTTCAATATACACAGCCAAACACACTACCAAACCCAGTGTACACCGGGTGGAATACTAATCCCACAGATCCCCATGGTTCAGGAAATTCAGAAAGCAAGAGGATGAAGTTGGCTTTGATACTTTGTCTTCATAAAGGCACATCTTATACTCATATTAAAGCAAAGCCTCTAATTCCAAGGGGACCTGGGGACTGCCATGGGGAGAAGAGTCCCTACTCACCTGCCCGTTTCCTCTCTACCACACCCTCTTCCCGGGCAGGGGGGCTGGTATCGCTGTAGGTGCTGTCCCGGGGCGAGGTCTCCTCCGACTTGCAGTAAATGGGTGACTCGAGCTGGGGTGGCCGTGGCACATGCTTCTTCCGTTTCTTGGGCAGCTTCTGCTTGGCCATAGCCAGGGAGTAGTACATGCCGAAGTTGTTGACGATGACTGGCACAGGCATGGCGATGGTGAGCACTCCGGCCAGTGCACACAGCGCCCCTACCAGCATGCCTGACCACGTCTTGGGGTACATGTCCCCGTAGCCCAGTGTTGTCATGGTGACCACAGCCCACCAGAAGCCGATGGGGATATTCTTGAAGTCGGTGTGGTCATTGCCCCGTGGGTCAGAGGGCCTGGCACCGATGCGCTCGGCGTAGTAGATCATAGTGGCAAAGATGAGCACGCCCAGGGCCAGGAAGATGATGAGCAGCAAGAACTCGTTGGTGCTGGCGCGGAGTGTGTGGCCCAGCACGCGCAGCCCCACGAAGTGGCGCGTGAGCTTGAAGATCCGCAGGATGCGCACGAAGCGCACAACACGCAGGAAACCCAACACGTCGCGGGCTGCCTTGGACGACAGACCGCTCAGTCCCACCTCCAGGTAGAAGGGCAGGATGGCCACAAAGTCAATGATGTTGAGCAGGTTCTTGACAAAGTCCAGCGTGTCGGGGCAGCACACGATGCGCACCAGGAACTCCAGAGTGAACCACAGAACGCACACGCCCTCGATGTAGGTGAGGATGGGCTCCGTCTCCACCTCCCTCCGGAAGCGCACACTGGTGATATTCCCCACCCGGTGGATCTCCGTCACGTTGCGGTCGATGTTGAAGGCCTCGTGAGTCTCCAGGCAGAAGGTGGTGATGGAGACCAGGATGAAGAAGAGGGAGGCGAATGCTACCACCTGTGGGCAGGGGACGAGAGCCAGGAGCAGCAGTCAAGACAGGGATGGACAGCCCCACTGGGGACAGGGACCTCGCTAGTGGAAGGTGCGCATACAGGGCACCAGGCAGTGTGTTAAACCAGAGGGGCCATTCAGGCAGAGTCAGAGGCTGGAATTCTCTCCTCAGAGGGTCTCAGCTTCCTAATCTGTCATTGTACCCAGCAGACAGAGGCTGCTGTGTGGAAGCAGCAAGTCATGGAACTGTAGCTGCCTGTCCCTGCCTGGGACAGCTCTGCCCATCCCTTTAAGGCTTGTCGAATTGTAAAGAATGTCCAGACCAGCTTCAGATCCTGTCTCAATCTGATTCTGTCTCACGGAGCTTGGGGAAGGACCTGCAGTTCTGCCTTTCCCACAAGCACTCAGGAAAGGCCACAGCGGGAGTAACCAGAGCAGTGGTCCTAGAAGACAGCTCCTGGACCAGAAGCAAGAGGTCCCTGGGAACTGGTTAGAAATGCAAATTGCAGGCCCCACCCAAACCTACCGAGTGAGAAGTGCCAGGGGTCCAGGGCCCAGCAGTCTGTTTCAGTAAAAGTTCCCAGGGAATCCTGATGCACACATAAGTTTGAGGCCCACTACTTTAAGGGAGGCCCCAAAGAATGACCCCAGGACTCCTTCTGCCAGCCAAGCCAACAGCTCCAGCCATGAGGCACCGTAAGCCAGTCTTAGCTCCTCTTTCCAGCCTCAAGGATGCCTAGGTGACATCACAGATACCAAGGAAGCCCCAGAAGGAAGACAACATGCGCTGTGGCAGGAGACGCAATGGTCCACCCAGAATCACCAGTTTTGCCTCCTTCCCACAAACTGACATTTTCTGGGACATTCAGATCCAAAGGAAAATGAACTGTACCCACCAGGATCAGAGTGGCAGTGGCTGATCCCAACAACTGCTGGGATATCAGCTAGAATGGCGACAGTGGCACTTGGCAGAGGAATGGCTGGGCTTAAGTGTCTGATCATTATGAATGGAGATGAAATGCATGTGTAATAACACCAATTACGGAGCCTTCATCTGTTATTCATGCCATGCCATTCAACACTGTCGGGAGCCCGTTGTTGGGGACTGTCCTTCAGCCCTCGCTGCCTCCTGTCCTGGTTGGTGTGTGTGAGTTGAGCTTCCTCTCTGAGCAGAGGGCTGAGCCTAAACAGGGGATGAGGGAGGTCTGTGTCCCCAGGACCATTTGGCAAGCCCATGCCCGCCCCTCCCAAACTCCACCTGCCGTGGCCTTCACTGTTGAAGGAGGATTCAGACCTGACTCTCAGAGGGGTTTTCATCTTGGGGAATCTGCATTGGAAGTGGAAGGGGAACACCCTTTTCTTAACGTTGCAAAACAGCAATGCAGAACATAGGGGGATCCATGAAAATGAGAAGAAGCCACACTCGGAGGGCCTCCGGAGCAGCAGCAAGTCTGAGGGAACTTTGGACCTAGATATCCATCAGCTGTCTATTCCATGTCTGGGGTACTGTTAGGAGTTCTGTATGTGTCACCACCTTCAATCCTCCCGGTGATGCTGGAGGCAGGCCTCAACCTATTTTATGCAGGAGGAACTGAGGATCAGAGAGGTTACATACTTGTCTCAGGTCACATAGCCCAGAAGAGGAACAAACCAGACTTGAACTGTAAACAGTTTAGAGTCTACCTTCCCTTCCCATCTCACTGTCTTCACTGGGCAGGGTCAATTCTCTCATGCTTGCTATTTCATGTCCTTGGGGATGAATACCTTGGACGTGGGACAGATCCCCTATCACATGCTATGATGTACCTCATTTACACTTGAGCTTGGATCAGAAACAACACAAAAGGAGAAGTCTGGAGAGGGAGTGGGCCAGACACACCTCTACTTTTTAGCTTTGCCTGGAGTGTCTTCTGTCTGCTTCCCCCCGAGAAGGTACATTTCAAGTGTCTTTGCTGGCCTCATTTTTTTCTCCTCTGAGGAATGGGCTGCCCAAACAGTGCAGGCTGACATGGGCCCAGGAAAACGGCTCCAGCCTGTGGCCTCTGCCTGCCAGGGGTGAGATGAGCTGTGGGAGCACCTGCCGGGGGCCCTGGCAGTGTTGGGCATCCAGGGTCATGGCTTCATCCCTGGCCCCGAGAAGCAGAAGGAGTGGGGACAGCACGTCCCAGTTCTGAAGCATGGGAAACAGGCGTGCTCTCTGAGGGAAAGTTAGCCAGGAGAGTCGTCCCACCTGGGAGTCCAGCGTAGGTTAATTAGTGATTTGGAAAAACAAGCTCAGGAAGAGCTGCCAAGGGGCAGAGCACAGGGAGCAGATAGAGGAAGGACGGTAAGACCACTCCCTCGCCCACAGGGCCAAGGAGCCTTCCCACTCCCTTCTGCTGCTTGCGGCCCCTGCAGCAGGTCGGGAACCTTTCAAGCCCAGTAGGCACGGCCCACCCTCCCAGTCAGGGAACAACCCCCTGCTCTAGCTCTCTTTACTCACCTTTGCTCTTTTTTTTTTTTTTTTGAACCGGGGATTGAACCCCAGGGGCATTTACCCACTGAGCCTCATCCCCAGCCTTTTTTATATTTTAGAGACAGGGTCTCGTGGAGTTGCTTAGCACCTTGCTAAGTGGCTAAGGCTGGCTCTGAACTTGTATGATCTTCCTGCCTCAGCCTTCTGAGCCGCTGGGATTACGGGCGTGCACCATTGCACCCAGCTTGCTCTTGTTTTTACAGGAAGGACTGTCCCCCACATTACTCTAAGATTACAGTTCCTCTTCAGGCCCCGTGTTCTTCTTTTCTCCCCTAAGCTACTCCCCATACTCAATTATTTCCTAAGCAGTTGACTTGCTTGTAACTGTTGCTTTGGGCCAGGCCTCTCCCAGGGGGGAGGGATACTGCTTTCTTTCCCCAAATTCCCTTGCATGGGGGCTGCCCAGGACAAATGGCGTCATGTAAGAGGTGGCTGCTGCACCACCAGCCTGCTAAGGGTCAGGGCCTCATGCCACAGGGCCATCCTGCAGAGCTGGCAGTTGTAGCTGAGCCTGCCTTCAGCCAGCCCCTGTGCTGTCAGACTGAGAGAGAAAGAGAGCTAGGGAGCCCGCAGATAGATGCTGCATCTGAGGGTCAGGTTACCTGGTTCCTCATCCTGGCCTTGCCCCTCAACCAAGGAAATCGTGCTCTCTAGGAGGCTTCATGTAAGACAGGGATAGAACCAGTACCCAGCTCCTGGTGCCACTGTAGGAACAAATGAGCTTCATATTGAGTAAGTGCTCCATAAAATGGTGACAGAGATGAGATGTGAGGGTCCCCCCCAGGAGACCCCTGCATGCAGCTTCTGATATTGCAGAATCCTGGCTTTTTAGAAGTGAAAGGTCATCCAAAAGTCATCCAGTAAAACTCCCTTTCTGCTTTTACAGATGAAGAAACAGAGCTGAGTGAGGTGGAGCACACCTGCAATCCCAGAGATTTGAGAGGCTGAGGCAGGAGGATTGCAAGTTCAAGGTCAGACTCAGTAATTTAGTGAGACCCTGTCTCAAAATAAAAAAATAATTAAAGGGGCTGAGATATAGTACAGCACCCCTGGGTTCCACCCCCCAGTATCACAAAAAAGAAAAAAAAAAGTAAACATAAAAAAGGACTGAGGCCCAGCAGAAGGGATTTGTCCAAGTTTCTACCAGGGAGTTGGGGGGTGGGGGGGTGCTGATGCCATCAACCCTCTCCTTAGGTTATGGATTCTGCTGGAAATCAAAACCGCCCCAGCACAAAACTGCTGGTGTGACCTGGCTCTCCTGGTGGCAGCTTCTCTCCTGCCAGCTGGGAGGACACAGGAAGACCTCCGTTCCCCTGGGCCTCCTCAGACACATGCTGGCCACTATGTCCTATAGGGCACCCTCCCATCTCCAAAGCTCAGGTATTCCAACAAGATGGTCAGCCCTATTACCAGCTTCCTCCATCCACCCACCCTAAGGCTGTCCTGGAGCAAATGTAAGGTCACACTCTGGGTTCAATTTGGGCTCTGCTATCATCCTAGGAGAATTTTTGTGGATTTCTTAGCCTCTCCAAGCCTTAGGGTCTTCATTTATAGAAGGGAAAACTGAGCACTTACTAGGTACCAGACACAGTGGGGACAGCAGGAGAAAAACCCAAACATCGCTGCCTCATTAGAATGAAGGGAACTATTTACAAATAAGTAAAATACAGAGCACATCAGACAGTTTAAGTGTTTCAGAGAAAAAGAGAAGGTGTATGGTGGCCAGGGAGCTATTTCAAATAGGAATGACCAGAGGAGATCAAATGACAAGGGGATATCTGAAGAGAGACCAAAAGGGGCGAGGAAAGGAGTCGCAGGAGGAGCCAAAACAGGGGCAGTGCAAAGGTACTGAGGCCACCATGTGCCTGGTGTGTTTCAGGGAGTGAGACCCACCTTATATGGTTGTTTGAGGATTAAAAGAAACCATGCTTGTACAAATCAGCACAGAGACTGTAGTGTCTCAGGAATCTGGCACAGGTTAGCTGAGGGGAGAGGTGACAGACACCAATCACTGGGAACTGAATACAATCACTGGGGGCCGAGAAGGGGAGCCCAAGGAAGGAGGGCCAGGGGACAGATGGACAGATAAACAGAAGAAGACTCATGCCCAAAATCCTATATTAAGGATGAAGTGTAGGAGAAGGGAAAATTGAGAACACAGCCAGAGACACTTGCAGAGGAAGATCTGGGGGGGGGAAGGGGGTGGGGCTGAGCCTCCTGGGGAAGTCAGATCCTCGTGTCCAGGCTAGGACTGGGGTACCCTGGGGCTACAAAGCAGGAAAGGAGGGTGGTCTGACAAGGATGGTATCTGAGCTGTTCTGGGCTCCTGGATTGAGTGCCTACACTGAGGCCCAGTTCCCAGCTAAGGGGTGCCTCTGGCCGCAGCCTCTCTCAGCCTGAGCCAGCACACTCTGGTTCCAGTGTCAGGAGTCCACCTCTACTTCTGCCTGCCCTCTGCTGCGGGCGCTGGGAGCCTCTCAGGGCCCCCCAG